TTAGGGTTTAGGGCTTGGGGTTCGGGTTTCGGGTTTAGGGGTTAAGGGGTTTAGGGTTTAGCGTTTGGGTTTAGGGTTTAGGGTTTAGGGTTTAGGGTTTAGGCTTTAGGGGTTTAGGGGTTAGGTGTTAAGGTCCAGGGGCTTTCAGTTTAGGTTCAGGGCATTGGGTTCTTGAAAACGCAGTTCAGGGACTGAGGTATGTAGGGTCAAAGTGTAATTAAAGTTCATGCCTAACGAATCAGGGGAATAAGTCAGTAGAGCTACATCGCGAGTAGCTACATTGCTAGTTTTCGGTGCCCAGCTCGTGGACTCCCCGTGAACCTTCAAACGGACCTTGGGACGTCATGGGGTTCATGTATGAGTCGAGTGTATCAAAAAAAGGCAATCAGGGTTAAAGTTAAGGTTTACGCTTTAGGGTTTAGGTTCAGGGCTTGGGATTCGGGTTGCATGTTTACGGACAGGGGGGAAAAGCCTGAACTCATAACCTTGGACCTTTGAACCAAGCACTACAGGCCGTAATCCCCGAACCCAAAGCCCTAAAACCTTCAACCCTGCTCTCAGTGGCTTAGATCGGCCCCGTCGAAACCCACAAGTCCTGAGAGGCCCCTGGAGGAAGAAAAGTCAGCAGTGGTGGAGCCTGCAGAGGAGGGGAAAGCCACCCGCCAGTTTGTTGGGGTTTGGGGTTCAGAGTTGAAGGGGTTGAGGGGTTCAGGGTTGAAGGGTTTTGGGTCGAGGGTTGACAGTTTAGGGTCCTAGGGTTCGGGGTATGCCCTCGGACGTAGTTGCTGTTCTCGGTTATCTCGCCACCGTCAGGATAAGGAAGCAACGTAACCAAGCAAGGGAAAGTGCAATATGATGCAATACAGGGCCGTAGCAACTACCCAATACATGTACCTGAGGGTTCCTCAATCGAATTACAGTGCATCATACCCAAAACTTGTTTCGCCCTATCACATAAGGCGCTGCTATTCGAGGGGGAACCCGGGGTCTCTAACCCGACGGCCCTAAGCCCTACAACCTTAACGCCCAATCTTTAGGAGTTCAGGGTTTGGGGCTTCGGTTTAGGGTTTGGGGCTTAGGGTTTAGGGTATAGGTTGAGGGTTTAGGATGTAATGTAGGTTTAGGGATTAGGGTTTGGGGTGGGGTTTAGCGTTTAGAGTTTGGGGTTTTTTGGAGCCGCATTGAGGAAATGCATCTGTGACCACCCTTCAGCTGCAAGTCCTCATGAGTAGCAAACCCAAGAAGCAAATCTCAGGCCTTGAACCGCCCAAGCCTTGAACTAAGTTCTAAAGCCAAACCTTAGCCTTAGACCCCAAGAAATAGCTCGTCAGTTGCCATGGCCCTACATTATACCCCCAACAGCCCTCCCTCAACCGAAATCTCGGATCCAACCCCAAACACCTCAAGCCCCAAAGCCCCAAACCCTCAAAGCTTAGTGCTGAACCCTCAAGCCCTGAAGCCCTAAACTCTAGCCTGTTTCTGCAGGCCGTCGAAGCTCCAGCGGTGGTGCAGCCGGGCCCCCGACACAGGGACATCAAAAAGTCTTACTGGAACAGGGGTGTCAGGGGCCCTCAGGGGCTTTTTAGGGTTTAGGGTTTAGGGTTTAGGGTTTAGGGTTTAGGGGGGTTTTGTGGGGCTTATTTGTTGCAGGGCTTGCGTTTTACAGGGGGTTCAGGGTTGGAGTGTAAGGAGCCATCCGAACTACTGAGATCCAGGTTTTTTTTACCGTGACGTCGGCGGCAGTTTCTTTTCGCTTTTTCAGTGTGAAAACCTCCCCTAAACCCTAAACCCTAAACCCTAAACCCCAAACCCTAAACCCTAAACCCTAAACCCCCAGCCCGCCTTCCAGGAAGCCGCGTGGGTTCGAGATCCTCGCGCGGACGGCGAACACCAAAGTTCATGGGGTCGGCGCCTTGGAAGTCCCGGCGACCTTGATTATGGACTATAGTGACTATACGTTAAAGTTGTCAAGGGTATGCTTATAACTATAGGTTTCAGGTTATAGTATAGTTATCGTTATAGAAATACTGACAGAGAGTACTATTGATAAGAATAATAATAGCAGTATCTTGATCAGTTACAGGGTTCAGAAGTCTTTGCGCTTACACAGTGATACTCGGGTATTCCGCGGGGCATTTGGTCCCGCAGTTTGACATCCCAAGGAACTCTAATCAACTTGTTATTCTGGCATCTGTAGTGGCATGGGTAGGGTTTAGGGTTTAGGGTTTAGGGTTTCAGGTTTAGGGTTTAGGGTTTAGGGTTTGGCTCTGCAAGACTATTTGTAAGCCCTTTTTATGGATTAGCGGTCTGCATGAAGGGCCCTCCGCAGAAGCCCTAAGCCTCATAAGCCTACCATCATGGGGAACCCGAAACGGGCCGGTCTTTTCAGGGTTTAGGGTTTAGGGTTTAGGGTTTAGGGTTTAGGGTTTAGGGCTACAGGTAGATCATATTCAACCCTGAGTTTTGGGGTCTGCATGCTGTTGTGGATGATGTCCGAACTGTGTGCAAGCCAGGTTTAGGGTGTTCGCGGGTTGGTTCGCCTGATACGCCAAGCTAGCAACGGCGACTGCAGGGATGTGTGCAAACCCGAAGCCTAAACCCTCACGCGGGTAACGTCTTGGAGTTTGTCCTGCTGCAATTTGCGCAGGACATTCCTGAATGTAAGTTGCAGAAATGTGACATATGAGCTTTGATTGCGTTGGAGGCGCGAAACTCGAACTTTCAACTTTTAACCATGGTTTCGTGTGCGCAGATCTGTTAATATATAGCTGAAACCACTGTAGAAAGCCCAAGCCGTAAGCCCTAGTACGGTGTAGGGCCGAGGGTTCAGGGGGTTAAGCGCCAATCGTTTAAGGCTCAGGGACCCTAAACCCTGCAACCCTAAACTCCAACCTTCTGCACCCTACCTGCCCAGAGAACCCAATACCCCTTAAATAGGGAATATACCGTAAATTATAAGGGCCTTATTATTATGATTTAAGGTATATTCCTTAATTAAGGGGTATTGGGTTCTCTGGGTGAAGCCCTTCAGTGCCAAGGCCGTCGTCGAAAACAAGGACTCGAGTTGATGGTGGGCTACATGTGATGGGAATCAAGGAACGACATACACAGGCGTACAGCAAGTAATAGGAAACCCAGGATTTAAACCTTGCTGGGCTTGCACCTTTGAGGGTTTAGGGGTTTAGGGTTCAGGATTTAGGGTTCAGAGTTCTGGGAACCAGCTTTCGGCTTTCGGGGTCTGGCATATCACTGTTCAGGGTAGACGGTTGAGGGCCCAGTATGAGGGGAACCCAACTCTGATCTTCAAGGCCCCTGCATGTTAGTGGCTTCGTCTGTCAGGGACCCCGCTTCCGTCGCAGATTACAGGTATACGATGCTGATGACATCGGTTGTGCTCCAGCCGGAGGCGCAGATTCGTCGCCTCACATTTCGGACGTGTCTATGGTTGGCACGTAATGTAGCCCTAAACCGTAAACCCTAAACCCTAAAACCCTAAAGCCCTAAACCGTTGGAGCGTGTTGGCAGCAGATCTCAGAGTCGACAGGTCCATCCGCATGCCCGATCCGACAACTTCGCTGGGTCGTCATCGGTCGGGACGCGTGGTCCTAATATAGAGGCCCTCATCATTCGAATAGGGTTTGGGGTATACTATACTATAAACCCTAAATCCTAAACCCTAAACCACAATTTTAATAAGGAGCCCCCAGAACCTCATTCTAACTCTTAAGGCCCCAAGATGAAGCCTGAAAAGGAAGGCTGGTGGCTCTCACTGCGTGGAAAATTCGCCTGAAGGTCTGCTGACCGGGCGCCGGGGATCCCCAGATTTCGGAGGTCTGGTTCCTCGTTTCGGTTTCATGTCAGCTTTAGGGTTTAGGGTTTAGGGTTTAGGGTTTAGGGTTTAGGGTTTAGGGTTTAGGGTTATAGTGTAGGGGCCTAGATAATTACCTCTATTAGTTTGGGGGGTTCCTTATTAGAGCTATAGTATCATGGGCCCCAAAACCCTATTCTCATTGTTAAGGCCCCTACATTAGCCTCATGGACCCGAGATGGCTCAGGACTGAGGATATCGGATGAAGCTAGCTTACAGCCTGAACCAACGTTCCCAGGGATGGGGTCTGATCCCAAACCCGTATTCATTTATGCTCTGAATTCCTGAATCCTACACATGAAACCGCCCGCGGGATCACGAAGTCTGAATAAGCCCTTCAGCCGGTAACAGCAAAACCTCGACCCAAGAACTTTCCGGTGAAGCCTTAGTAGCTCCCACGAAAGCCTAAAGCCCTAAACCCTCAAA